GTATTCATTACAATAATCGTACAATGTTCAAGAGTAATGAATGTAGCGTGCAGTTACATAGGCGCGAATAAATAAGATGAATTTTAATGAAGGTGTTCGCATTAAAGCAAGGCTCATCGATTAGGCAAGTGGCTGTATAACTATGATAGAAGTTCGGTAAAGATCACTGTTGAAAAAATTGAGAACAATGCGTACAAATGCGATAAATGAACATAAGTTACTACCAATGAGTGTATGACTAGAAACGTATGTCTATGATAGGGTTGCAAACTATTGCCAGCGTTGGAATAGTCGAAAACATGCTATTATCTGCGTGCAGGAGATTTGCCACGACTGCTTAAACTGATGTTTCATGTACATGCGCGTGTCACCATACTACCGATTTACTTAGAAGGTTGCAAGATGTTGGAGGTACGAGCAGCTAATCAGTACGTCGGAAATATCAGTCATGAGATAACCATAGAGCCGCTGCTGCGATGAATGATTCAGAATATAATAATGAGATACGGCAAAGGAAGTGGAACGAACTCACTTTAAGTAAGAAAATTGATGCGACGAGTTGATATATGAATACAATATCGATAGGATAGGATATCCACACTGAACTGGCTTCATTACATACGCTGGATATGAGATTGTATTGTCTGCGTGGTTTATCGAGTCTGATACATTGATTCACTCGTCGAATGAATTGAGTTTGAGAGGTTTTATGTCGGCCTAGTTCTGTAGGTTGCGTTGGGACATGTGTTACGTATGGCTAACCGCCGACTGCCGCCACAAGCCATGTTTTGTAGTGTAGGAGTAGATTGGAAGAAAGTTAGGGGCGGCCAAACCAAAACATGGCATAAATCCATGAAGTCGCTGACTAGTGGACTGAGTCATGTTGGTAGATGTAGACTACCTGGTTGGGGTCCGCGAGACGAAAGTCACCAATGGTTAGAGACCTTGAACGACATGGCTCAAAATTGTTTGGAATGGCTCATGTGCATCCACTCTTTGTGCTCTCTGAAATCCTAATCTTCCGGTTTGGTCAACACCTCCACCTTTGTCTTTGTAAATTTATCTTACTGAATTATACTTCTTGAATAATATCTTCAAACCCTAGTCTTCTTCATTACCATTAATACCTCTACTATTTTTATCACTATGAGATTTGATTTGACATTTGCGTCTCTGAGCTAATGTGGTATGGCAACATGAACTTATGTACATACGTACGAAGTTCTACGTTGCAACTGACTGACTGACTGACTGTAGGTTGCTGCATGTAAGACGTTGGGCTCACCATTTTTAGTGGTTGTGCTAAATTCAAATTTAAGCTCACCATCTTAGTGGCCCGTGATTCGATTCCACTTTGAATGAATAATTTAAACAACTAATCATTAAAGTTAATATCATAACTAAATAGTGAGATGCTACAATCCGACACACATTTTTATGATATACAATAATTTCTAGAAATCAGATCAATCAATAATTTACAGTCGAATTTTATGTTTAAAAAAAATTCGAAAACCAAGAAAATGGTTTAGCTTAAAAGTATATTCGGAATGAATGATTGTTTTGAATAGAAGCTTTTTTTTCTGTAAACTGTGTTTTATAGCAGAAGTTTGATGATTAGCGTTTTAAATGACCTTGAATAATGGTTGAATTGTAATAAGATATCGATTGAAAAGGTACATTATACCAGAAGATAAATCCTATTTTGAACTAATTTTATCTGATGAAACTATTCTAAAGTATGGTTGATTGATACGAATTGATCAAAAGTTGGGGAGTAAGACAAAACAGCTGTTATCCAGTTCACTTGGCCTTTTCAGTGGTGTTTTATAGGAATAAGTTTCTCATAAAATCTACCATATATATATATATATATATAAGGATAGTATTGAAATAAAATGTACATATTTTCATTAGAATACTTGGACATGAACTTGTGGTGTATGAACAAATTAGCTTGTAAATGGTTGAAATACATGAATTTCAAGTATATTAACTTTTTTGGCTACTTCCTATAACCCGACTACTTCTATACATTGACTCGAATAATATAGATCAAAATGTGAAATGTGAGTGAGAGCAGTACTCCTAAGTTAGTTTATGTAGAGAAATTTGAGTGTATTTATAGAGTTGCATGTGACTTTTACTCTTCAGAACTTTCTGGAAACATATCAAATATAACAGTGTACGGATAACTATCTAATTAAAACTTGACAAGTGATCCTTGATTATCCTAGATATTCTTGAGAACTAGCTATTGTGGTGGTGTTTCGTTCTCTGAGCAGGGAATGTTTTGTTTCTGAAGCTTTCATTCTTCTTCTGAACAATATCATAAGCACAAACTTCAGAGAGCAGAAGTGAAGTATTCGAACAATGAACAATCAAAGCTCCACAACCAAAACATTTAGTTCAGAGAACGAAACCCTCATACGATCATCCACCTGAGCTACAAATCTTCCCCAGCAATCTCGAAGTATCTCTTCTATATTGATTTGATCAAAAATATTTCATGCAGTGTTCTGAGTTTCTAGAGATTCTGACCAGAAGTATTTTTGAACTCCCCAATAAGTTTGGTTACTCCAAACAACTTTCAACCAAAACCAAAATCACGATTTTCAATACAAATGTCAAGACAGTTCTAATGTATGGAGTGGAAACTTGGAGAGCTATGAAAGCTATCATCCAGAAGATACAAGTGTTTATGAACGCAAAATACTTCGTATTCGTTGGCCAGACACCATCAGCAACAACCTACTGTGGGAGAGAACAAACCAGATTCCAGTGGAGGAGGAAATCAGGAATAAGCGGTGGAAGTGGATAGGACACACACTGCGAAAGGCACCTAACTGCGTCACAAGACAAGCCCTCACATGGAACCCTCAAGGCAAAAGGAAAAGAGGAAGGCCAAGGAACACATTACTCCGAGAAATAGAGAAAGATATGAGAGGAATGAACAGACATTGGACAGAATTGGACAGAACTGGAGAGGGAAGCCCAGGACAGAGTTGGTTGTAGGAAACTGGTGGGCGGCCTATTCTCCATTGGGGGTAGTAACAGGCGTGAGTAAGTAAGTAAGTAAGATATAACATTCCTTGAAAAGTATTAACAATTTTATTTACAAATATAACATTTACCAATTTCTTATACAATAACATACTAGATTAAAATAGTGTAATCATGTTTATAGTTGGTAATTATCGAATTAACATTGTGTGTATTGATGAGAGTTATTGAACTCTAGGGTCATTTAGTTGTTTACATTCAATCATGATATTATATTCTATGTCAGAAAATAAACCAAACTTATTACTTACTTACTTACTCACGCCTGTTACTACCCCCAATGGAGCATAGGCTGCCCACCAGTTTTCTCCAACCAAATCTGTCCTGGGCTTCTCTCTCCAGTTCTGTCCAATGTTTATTCATTCCTCTCATATCTTTCTCTATTTCTCGGCGTAATGTATTCTTTGGCCTTCCTCTTTTCCTTTCGCCTTGAGGGTTCCATGTGAGGGCTTGTCTCGTGACGCAGTTAGGTGCTTTTCGTAGTGTGTGTCCTATCCACTGCCTCTTCCACATTTTTTCTACTGGAATCTGGTTTGTTCTCTCCCACAGTAGGTTGTTACTGATGGCGTCTGGCCAACTGATCTGAAGTATTTTGTTAAAACTACCCCAATGAGTATCTAGGTTGAACTGTATCTTAAATTTACTTCTCGGTTACATAACATGAACTTTTATTGATTTCACGCATTTTAGAGACTATATATTGTTGGTTTTTAGTTCTTTAATAATGACATATAAGTGATCGATAGCTACATTTTAAATTTCGCGCAAAATACTTGGAGCTTTAACTGACTTATGGTTGATTCATTCAATGCCGTCAGTATATGATACTTAATATATTTTGCATCATTCTAACAACTTGCCAATAAACGAAAATATGAAATTCGGTGCTTCAAAATTATTCATCATTCAATCAGAGAATATGCTCATCCTTAAATCTAGGTACAATATTTTATTTATTTCACTAGTTTAGTTACTGATTAAGTCAACTTACAAAAACTGAATAACTAAAATTATCTCTCTCCCCTGGTTCAAGATATCAATTTGTGCGGCAGTGCTTATTAAAAATTATTGAATGTTGAATTTAGCTGCCAGTCGCTAAAAAAACATTGTTATTTAGTTAGATGAACATTCTTAGATCACTGTAAGATCCAAATTGAGGTTTAGATTGAGAAATAACTGTTCAGGTAGTTTAGATACACGTCTTGCCCAGGTTAAAAGCCAAAACAAGTGATTTGCGTAAATAACGGTTCTAATATTCATCATAAATATAAATATACATCATTACCTAAACAATATTATCACTCAGCTATCCCACCAACAATTATTCAATTATTCAAATCCAAATAAATGATTTTCTATCCCTTCTGGATAGAATCAGATTCGTTCAACAGATAATATTCGGTTGTTTTATAACGCAGAGTGTTTCCAATTCTGGAAGAGTGTTTCAATTCACAATCGAAATGCACAATTCCAGTCAGTAGCAAGCAACACAATCAAAAGAGGAACAAATCAATATGTCTGTCGCTATGACCAAGTATCAGCTTAAACAACATAAATGCAGTTCAGAAAGAAACGTAGAAACTCAGTGAAGGCAGAAGAAATAGAAACTATAATCAAATACAAATATTTTCTTTCAGTAAACTAATCAAAATCAAGTAAAATACACCTCAATAATGACGGCTAACTAACTTACAACCTATGTGTCAATGTTTCCTGCTAATCAGCCCCAATTATATTTAATGCTAAACACGGTCAGTATGATGTTGAATCATTCAGACTAGTCAAGTCACTGCCATGTATTTCATGTCACTCACTAACAGTAAATCCGTCAACGCTATAATTTCGTTTGATCGTACAATCTATAAGCCATGCTAAATTTGAAAAAAATATTTTTACAAAACAATTTCTCTGAAACAGAACAATAAATGTTTAAAGTAATGGTCACAAGTACTACTACTACTACTACTACTACTACTACTACTATTACTATTTTCATGATCTATTCACGTGAACATATGAATACACAGGTAGGGAGAGAGAAAGAGAGAGCATCAGACTAAAATCATTAACACTCTACATAAATATCGATCAGTCCAACAATTAGGACATACTCCATTTTTAGTAGGTTGATGATTGAGGTTATTCTTCAACCTTGTCATGATCACTTAATATGTGATGCACATTTGTTTTTTGGTTATTTTCAATGCATTCAATAGATGATATAATTTTGATTACCCATTTCATTTAAAGCTATAACTATTACTTTATTTGTGTCTTTTTTTATTCGGCTTATCAAACTGTGAACTTTATTTTGGATATGTTTGTAATACGTAGTTGAGAAAATATCATAATTATTGCATCATTGAAGAGCAACAACTCCCGTTTCAGACTTTTCGTTTCTCTAAATTTTAACAATCAGAATAATCGCTTCTTCAGAAATTTTTGAAATAAAACTTTATGAATAAAATGTGTCAGCTAGACCATCATTACAAAGCAGAAAGTGATCGATACATGACTCTTCTTAGTATGGGAACCACTAGTAGTGCACATCAGCGACATCACTCATTTGTCTCCAGTAGTAATCCATGGATTGATCGGGGTTAAACATTAATACCGCTGGATGCCGGCCTAGTGGTCCAGAGGTTAGGCTTTCGCGCTCAAGACCGAAGGTCCTGGGATCGAATCCTGCGAGGTGCAGGAATCATGGATGTGCACTAGGGATGAATCCCATATCATGACGAAACGGCTGTCCAGTGCATCCAAGTTTCTAATGGTGGTATAACAATGGTTGGTGATTTTAATGTGTAAAAACACTTAACTCCATCAGTGTAACTGGGAAAATCATAGGATATCCACAAAATACTCTGTTGATAATAAGTATGTACTAAGCAGTGGTTAGCTTCGAGGATCCAAGTGACGGGTTGTCTTTTAGTACAGTTTTGTAATTTCTGTAATGTATGTCTTATCCATACCAAATGTTTTTCCTGATTGCTCCTTCATTTGGAAGCTTGAGTGTTTTCCGTCATAGTCGATTGATGCTCTTGGTCTCTGACCGACGGTTCTGTAGTATCTTGTGTAAACAGTTGTTAAGAATATCTGTGTAATGATGATTTGGATGATGAGTTCTCCAAGTTTCAGTTCATCAATACAATAGAACTGTTTTGACGTTTGTGTTGAAAATCCTGACTTGGCTAATAGTATTAGGTAGTAGTTGTTTTGAGTTTAAGATGTCCTTCCGTTGTAGAAATTTTGTTGCATCTTCACACCTGTGTCAGATTTCCCTTGTTGATTAATGGTACCGCTGAGGTACGTGAACATATCCACACCTTCCAGAGCCCCTTCATCACATGTAACTTGGTTAGTGCTCGTTATGTGGCATTTAAGATGTTGCCTTTTTGTGGTCTACTACTGTTGAAGTAGCTGACAAACTTTTAGACGTCGCATGCACTTGTTTCTGCATATGGAAACAAGCACTATAATTTCTTCAAGGTTCGAATCCTCCATTTGCTTCAGATATGTCCAGTGTATTCTATGCTTCTCTCCTTGTGCTAAGGTCTTTACAGTCCAGTCAACCATCAGAAGAAGGAGGAATGGCAAGGATAGTCAGTTTTTCCTGACTAATTTTGTACTTGAACTGTGTTTGTGATTTGCTGACCATACGCAGCTTTGCGTTTACATCTATAGTATCCATAGACAAACGTGTGTGTTCTGCTTTGGCATTCGGTGAACTCAGGTGCGTCGATCCAGTGAAGAGATCCTTAATGCACTCCAGCTTCCTTTTCCATTGCTCTAGATCCACCATGACTGAATTTATTTCTTTATTCTTGAATGGCTGTAATGGTTTATCATATTTGCCTGATACCTTTTTTTGTTACCTCATGTAGCTCGTTCGACTTCCTCCTTTTGCAGCTTGTTTTGTTGTGATTACTGGGTCTCCCAAATATTTCCACTTGACAGTTCTAAGTGTCCTTCTTTACTCGTCCATTTGTTTCTGTATATTCGGATTATGTCTTGACTTCCACTGCTTTCGTTCAGTTGTTGTTTGCTTCTGAATGCTGTTCTTCCGCTCGTGAATCTTGTGCAGAGTATCAATAAAGATCTACTCTTTTGGCTAAGCACAACTTCCAACATGTTGAGGTTATTGTCTCTTTAATTCCTATTTTTAAGGTGGATCATGCAATGCTTGAAAGTTATTGATGAGACCCATCTAGAACTCGCTGAGTCTGTTGGTCGGTATCTTCTTTTAGTTTCGGTATAAGTTTGGCACCACCAGGTGAGGAATCGAAGTGATATCAGTTTCCCTGTGTTACGAAGCAGATTGACCGCGTCAGTTAATATGCTTGAACTATTACGAGTTCAACTTAGTCAGTAAACGAGAGCGAGGATCAATGATCCGGCGACACGACAGGCTACTCTAATCCGATTATCCCAAACCCCCACTAAGTAGAAGAAGTCTTGATATGAAGTAGAAAGTGCATTCTACAAGCACCCAAAAATTATGAGGTCCGAGTCCAGAAAAGAAAAAGGATCCCGGTCTAAGGACCAGGAACATAAAATGTTACAGATAATGCATATTTATACAGTTAGGTGGAATAGGAAACAACATTTGAAGTATGTGACATTGATTGTTAGGACGACCAATAGGAATTAACCATTAGAAATTGACCAATAGAATTAGATGTACAAAATAATTCTCTTAGGATATTCATCGAAAATCCTAACACTCTGTTTGCTCTTATGTCTTGTATGATTCTTCAGAACTTCTTGTTCAACTAGATCTCTCCTGAATTTAATCTTTTTGTCCAGTCTGCGTCCAATGCCTCTCACTTATTCCAAGCACCTCTAAGTTATATCTTTTCATTTCCACATTAACCTGAATGGTTCTACCAGTGTCCCTTACTTTACGAACACTCTATGCACCTACATTAATTCTTGCTCTGATTGTCAGAATGGGCATCGGCCTCGTGACTTCCAAAGAAACTCTGCTTTCCTCATGTGGCATGAAAATTCTTCCGACTACCATGTACGAGTTCAAATGGTCTGAACTCATTACTATGGTTAACGTTCTTAATAAGTTAGTTTTCTTCTGAATGTGGTCACTAACCTCATGCCTAACCATCCTTTTTTATCTGGCCTTGTGACTAGCAGTAACCCTAGTAGTGGTACAGGTAGAGTTAATGCTATAAATACCTTTTCAGTTTCGTTATCCAAATTACATTTAGATATAAAGCATCTGTCATACTTTCAACTATTCTTAGTTCAAGTGTAGATAGATATCTTCAGACTACAAATCTGTTAAGAATTCATATGCAAAACCTAATGTTTAGTGGATCCTGCATAGTATCACTTAAACTAGTGGTTACACTATAACTTCTTTCGATAGAATTCTATCACCACTAAGTATTTGACAAACAAAACATTGATCTTTAATCACGTATCAACCGGTATATATATATATATATATATATATATCCCGACCGAAGCTGCTACCTTGACGTGGTGGTAGGGCTTGCCTATCGTGATAACCCAACCAAGCTATATTGGTTGGAACTTATGTTCCTGAAGGTTCTACCATGCCAGACAGGTCGATTGGAGAACGATGAGACTAAAAGCAGTTACTGAAGGTCTGGGGGCGAAGTCGTACTGCTGACTCCAGAGGGCTGTGACAGCAGTAAGGTGTTTCCCACGGACAACCAGCATCTGCAGCGATGTTGCCTTATCACAAGGAAGGAGCGGTAAGAAAACGTCGACCCTAAAAATGTCACACCTCACCCTACCTCACGGATTTCCGTCTCCGACGGTAAGGGTGCCCACTAAGGGCTTTTAAGAGCAGAGCTAATACTCAAACATCCTTTCATAAAAAGACCGTGCGTGACCGGCCTCTAGCAGTTGTCCCTTGGACTCTGCGGTCACGCGCCCAGGTCTCCAAGACCAACACTAATCTATCTTCGTTTACAGGTTCATTACCATTGATACCTCTACTATCTTTATCACTATGGGATTTGATTTGACATTTGCGTCTCATATATATATATATATATATATATATATATATATATATATATATATATATATATATATAATTTGATCAATATTCTATAAAATATTCTTCATTGAATTTTAGATTGAATTAACTCTTGAAAAACCTACATTAGCCAAACGTACACATTATTATCGTCTTAATCGTTTAATTCAAGTGATTGAAGAAAATTGTCATTTTTGTGAACGTTTACTAAATCAACTTAAATGTTTAAAAAATACAATAATTGAAACTGAAAGCAATAAAATGACATTTATAATTGAAAATATTTTCAATTATACAAATCATCATAGTAATGGAATACCAATTATGTATAACATTTTACAGGTAATAAAAATGAAGATTTATTATATTTAGATTGATGAATTTTAGTTGTTATTTTATTCATGATAATTAACATGAGTCGATTTAGTTAAACAAGTAGTTTATAAAGATTTACTTTATTTGGAAATTATTTATACAACAGACTAAGATCAACTGTGAGAAATTCAGAAGTCTTGAATGATTATTAAGGAACATTGTAGATTTTCAAGACGGTAATGAAAGTTTATGATTAGCTACACAAACAAACACGCGATATTCAATGTGATGATCTGTATTTCATAGATTCTTAAACTTTATAGTAAGGGCTGCATTTCTACAGTTGAAAAATATCTGGAACTCCAAACAACTTTCAACCAACCAGGATTTTCAATACAAATGTCAACACAGTTCTACTGTATGGAGCGGAAACATGGAGAACTACAAAAGGCATCATCCAGAAGATACAAGTGTTTATGAACAGTTGTTCACGCAAAATATTTCGGATTCGTTGGCCAGACACCATCAGCAACAAGTTACTGTGGGAGAGAACAAACCAGATTCGAGTGGAGGAGGAAATCAGGAAGAAGCGGTGGAAGTGGATAGGACACACACTAAGGAAAGCACCTAACTGCGTCACGAGACAAGCCCTCACATGGATCCCCCAAAGTCAAAGGAAAAGAGGAAGGCCAAGGAACACATTACGCCGAGAAATAGAGAAAGATATGAGAGGAATGAACAAACATTGGGTGGAACTGGAGAGGGAAGCCCAGGATAGAGTTGGTTGGAGAAAACTGGTGGGCGGCCTATTCTCCATCGGGGGTAACAGGCGTAGGTAAGTAAGTAAGTAAACTTTATAAGCTGCTAATCCTGGTAACTGTTACACTAGATAATGCTCAACGGTGTATAGATCAGAAAACGAATACGAAGCGTTGATGACGTTTATTATTGCACTACACACAGATCACAAAACCACACGCATACGAAGCAAAAATGGCACGCAAGTGCCGAAGAGCAAGCGAGAGAGTGATTGAGCGAGCAAATCAATGAAGAGAACTAAAATGGAAAATGAGCGAATCATCGATTTATTCAAGAGGCTAACATTAAAGCGATTAGAATGAATATATGTGTGTAGGCGGTAAGCAATGTTCAATCATATCTACTCATACAAACATGACAGTAATAAAAGTAATGTGGTACAGAGAAGGTATTGCTATACTAATGACTTTGTTTAATAAGTCAATAAATGGGCCTAACCAAATTTAACGTAAACAAACTCAAATATATGTGAGATGCTACGTCAGCTTATACACCAAAACCACACATATAAACGTAAAAACTAGAGTTAGTATTTTTAGCGAATTAGTTTTATACGCGTTGGGGTAGTTAACCTCATAGTCAACCCTCTTCCTTCATCTTGGCTTGGGTCTGGCAGTAGCCCGAGACGAGCTTCAGGTGAAGTTGCAAAAATTATGATGAAATTTTATTAGAAGAAGATTAATAATTTCTGAGGAGTTCCAAACTAGAGTGAAACTACTGTTCATTGTTACCTTCTTTTCAAAATGATTCTTCAGCTGATATCAGTCATTACAAAAATTGAAACTTTATTTCAACTAAATTTCACAAATCTCTTTCCCACTAAATAGAAGTTGTACATTAACTAGTGACTGGTTTGGAGATGCTCAAAATTTAACCGAAAGATGATGACAGGGGGCATTCAGTCATGCTGGATGTAAAACGGTTGCTTATTAATGTTGTCCGGTGATTTTACTCTATGTAGCTAACTGGTTGAAGTTAGAAAAGTATAAGACTGTGCACTAACTCAATAGACTAAAGATAACGGACTCACTGCAAAGCCTGCATATATTGAGGTATTGGGTGTACATTAACACGACGTCGTTTGTGTTATAACGCTCTTCTTTAATTGATAGTTCGAGATCGAACGAACCAATCGAAATCTTAGCTTATTCTTTTCGATTGCCAATCAGACTCTAACACCATTGTGAATAACATTGAGCACTGGTGAGATAACCGTGACTCTATCGACGATCTTGTAGTCTGGATAGTAGGACACAGCAGGCAAGCTTTTAATATAATTTTATTCAAGCATACACACACATTTATTAATAAGCATTCAGGTTGGTAATGCACCACAAAATGGAACTCATCGTTCATACATCAATAAGCCAAAAGTGGCAATGTGCAGAGCAAGGCCATGAAAGACTGATAAACCGTGATTTTGGAATGATAAAAGGTATAGTAAGCTGACACTAACAGGCATATGGAACCATAGTAGTTTATTGATTTAATAAACAAGACAACAGTCCCATACCCAGACGAAACGGCCGTCCAATGCTTCCAGGTTTCTAATGATGGTCTAACAGTGATTAATTGATGCTTTCCAATGTGTAGAAATATAAATGTTAACAATCCGTAAGATATATCTTCAAGCATTTTAATAGCTTCAATACTAATATGATGTATCCTACTCACAACGTGACTGATCTAACGTAGAAACAGTAAATATTAATAGAGCGGAGTGTCACTCAAAAGTTTCATATTGTTTACTGATTGAAAGGTTAGAATTGTGAACCTATTAAAATTATTTTTTTAAAATGGTTATACAATGTGATTAAACATTTTGCTTGTATATTCACATCATGTGAATTGTGCAGTGTTCATGAAACATGAACTTATGACCATTTATGTAAGTATCGATTAATATATTGTAAAGAGGTTATTAGAAAGTGAAGATTATTATAACAGTCTATCGACTGATTGTAAAAATTTATAATTAGATAATTGATATATTGATAGTTAATTTCAATCAATCAGTCAATCAACAGCAACGTAGAACTTCGTACGTACGTACATCAGTTAAAGTTGCAATAACACTTTAGCACAGACACGCAATAGTCAATCTAAATCCCATAATAGTAGAGGTAGTAAAAGTAATAGCAGTAATGGGAGAGATTAATGCTCGAGAATATTATTCAAGAAGTAATACCTAGTGAAGTAAACTTAAAAAGAAAAAGATAAAGGTGATAAGGAATTCAGAAGGTCAGAATTTGAGAGAACACAATGAATGAATGCACCTGCGCCATTGCAAACGGTTTTGAGCTATTTCACTCAGTACCTCTAACCATCGATTAGTATTATCAAGCTGACCCCAAATAGGTAGTCGACACCTACCGACATAACTTAGTCCACTTGTCAGTGACTTCATGGATTTCTGCCATGTTTTGATTTGGCCACCCCTAGCTTTCTTCCAACCTACTCCTACATAGCAAAACATAGCTGGACGAAGCAGTTGCTGTTTAGGCATTCATAACACATGTCCCAACCACCTCAACTGATGAATAATGATGAGAAAATAACAATGAGAAAAAGAAAGGTTTATGGCAGATACTGCTGTCAAACTAGCGAATTCTATCTAATTTGAGAACTGTTTAGTGAATGTAAGTGCATTTCAGTATTCATTTTTGGAACCATGAATCGATCAATGTTAAACCACCATTAGAAACCTGGAATCACTGGACGGCTCAGTGGTCCGATGGTTAGGCGTTCGCCTACAATGCCGAAGGTCCTATGTTAGAATCCTGCGGGGTTCAGGAGTCGAGGATGCGCATTGCTGAGGAGTCCCATACCAGAACGAAACGGCCGTCCAGGGCTTCCAGGTTCCCAATAGTGGTCTAACATTGATCGATTCATTGTTTTAAAAATTGTGAAATTTAACAATGTTCACAACCCCGTAATTCGTTTCAGTATTATCCATTGAGTTATTATGTTGATATATATATGAATTCAGCCAATGGCTCTTATGTTTACATCATATATCATAAGGATTTGAATCAGACTACTGATGATATTCAAAAATTGAATTTCAATATTTATGCTTTATATGTAGAATTGGCTTTTCATACTATTCTGAAACTTATCAGCTATAGTTTGCATATATCTCAATGCTGATATTTTTTCATTAAGACTCTTAGCTTTTCATCATAAGATAGGATGATATTTATTACTATTATAGTGAACAGGTGGGGCAACCGAATTGTATTTAACGAAAATTACAGAGTTACTCAGTAAAATCGGAAAACCATATCGTAAATCGTTCATTTGCAAAGCATCAGTTCATCATATTGAACTGGACTGTTCCTGTTGCAAAACATCAATCCATTGTCAGTACTATTCATGCGTTTCATACAAATTCCATTGTGTTCTAACTCTTCCTTTCTCTTGATCTTCCCCCATCTTCCGCTGTCAGACATTACGTTGACACTCACGTCATATACTACTTATAAGTAGCTCACACTACACTATCAGTTTCCCTATTACTGAATAGATTAAGAATTATGCAGAACACTGTCAGATTTAATGAATATTATTAATTGTTCAACTCTTGAATAATATTGATTTTAATGTTTATAAAATATAATATATAGGTATCCAATATTTTACTGGATATATGTAAATCAAGAAAATCACAACAATCAAGCATGTCAGACAATAATCAGCTAATCGATAACAATCACAACAACAACAACAACCATTGTACACATTCAAATATCAATTTAGAAAGATTTATATCAGAACTGCATGTTTTAATGGATTATTTACTAGAGTATTTATGTTGCTTCATATTGAATTTACGCAATAAAATGTCAATAAATGAACATTTCTTTCAAGCATTCAACAATTGTAACTCCTTTCATAATGTCAACCAAATCATCCAACATACTATCACCATCATCGTCGTTGTCGTCGTCACCGTCATCATCATCATCATCGTCATCATTATCATCATCCTCATCAGTATCGACGAATTCAGTGATTACATCAAGTTCCATATCAAAATTAATTGATCATTTGCTTAACATTGAATCTCATCTACCAATGAAATATAATGAACAATATGCGGCAGCACAAAAACGTTTATCAATGAGAATTAAGTTGGAAGTTAGTAAACATAATGAGTTCAATTGGTTCAATGATTAAAATTAATATTTGATATAATCAGTACAATGATGATGATGATGACGGTATTCTGTGGAATTTAATATGTACATGTGTACGTACATTTTAATGTTTGAAATGATATTATCACTGAGAAGAATGTTGTATAAATCCAACTGACTGTTTAACTTTATATCTTAGGGCTAATGAGAATTCATAGAAAGGATGTGTAACTTTGTATCGGGAATTTTAGATACTGTAAGAGAATTCTTGCATCTATTTGTTTATATTTGGGGAAATCTTACATTCATGCACTTTATTTCTCTTTGTACATAATACTTTTTCTAACTCTCATCTATACTACTGTGGTGCCAGCTACTTATAAGTAGTATATGACGTGAGTGTCAACGTAATGTCTGGCAGCAGAAGATGGGGGAATATCAAGGAAGGAAGAGTTAGAACACAATGGAATTTGTATGAAATGCACGAATAGTAACAATGGATTGATGTTGTTTGCAACAGGAACAGTCCAGTTCGATATGATGAACTGATATTTTTGCAAATGAACGATTTACGATATGGTTTTCCAATTTTACTGACAATCCGGTTGCCCCATCTGTGTTCTCCTTCACTACACTACTACTTACGTATACCAAGTGTATACTATATGTTTTGTTTTCAGTAATTATGTAATCACGGTATATACAAATGTTGAAACTGACTAACTCATTGGTGTCATTGGGTTACTTTTTAAAAAAATACGGTTACATTTTTGTTTTATTTAACATTGTCTTTTGATAGTTGGAGTGATGAATTATTGTACTTTGGCTGCAACTCAGTGAACTGATTGTTTTTGTTCTCTGTGATTGAAATTGAAGTCTATTTTGTGTTGCATTTTTTTAGGGACATTTGTGATGGATAACCATGGATTACTCACCACTGAAGCAAATCAAACTGATGTATCTTTTTTTCTTTGGGAAAAATATTGTTCTCTATAGTTTCTCTATTGAGATAATTGGGTTCGACCAGGTAGCTATACTCTCTAGAGAAATTATTGCTCAGTAACTAATTTTTAGCAACATTAGAACAATAGCTAACCTATGGAAGCACTAGATGGCCATTTTGTCCTACTATGGAACTTATCAGAAGTACACATCGACAACCCCTGTACCCAAGACTCGAAACCACGACCTAAGGATTCACATGCGAGCATTCAACCTCCAGCTCACTAGAAACTAGCTTCGTGAGAAAATTCTCAGATTTCTAGTTAGAACTCGATACCAGTGGAGTTCAATCCTGTTGTATGTGAGGCAGTTACCCACTGAAGACAATGGATCGTGATCACGTGATTGAAGTTAGGTATAAACACCAATTGACGCCCAGCTCAGTGGTCTGTAGATTAAGCGTTAGTACGTGAATCCGAAGGTTCTAGGTTTGATTCTCTCGTACAAGGGTCGTCAACATGCACTGCTGATGAGTCCCACACTAGGATGAAACTGACGTCTAGTGCTTCCAGGTTTCTAACGGTAGTCTAACAGTGATCAAATAAAGTGAGCATTAAGTAGATTTTCCATAATGAAATAATGTATTTGTGTATTTGTGGTATCCCATTGAGTAGAAAATGGTGGGTTCGACCAGGTATTTATACTCTCTGGGAAAATTATTCTTCAGTAACTACTTTCTAACTAAGTTGTACGTTTTGCTATGTTATTACAAGGAAGCTATTAGCCAATATTTTCTTTTTGGTCTATTTGAACTCGAATAAAGAGTGAATGAAAATAACCAATGACACCGAAACACTGAAATTCCTCCAAATATGAATTTAACAGAGACATTGTATCGAGAGTCTGTTTTTTCTAAATACCACAAACTTTTACTGAATATAATATGGGAGATAGAACAACTTGATGAACTGATTGTCTTCATTATTTTCCTAATTACCCCCAAATGGAGCATTGATCACCCACCAGTTTTCTCCAACCAACTCTGTCCTGGGCTTCCTTTTCCAGTTCTTTCGAGTTTTTGTTCATTCTTCTCATGTCTTTCTCTATTTCTCGGCGTAATGTGTTCCTTGACCTTCCTCTTTTCCTTTGACCCTGATGATTCCAAGTAAGGGCTTGTCTTGCGGTGTAGTTGGGTGCTTTTCGCAGTGTGTATCCTATCCACTTCCACCGCTTCTTCCTGATTTCTCCATCCTTTGGAATCTGGTTTGTTCTTTACCACAGTAGGTTGTCGTTAATGGTGTCTGCCAAACGGATCCAAAGTATTTTGCGTAGATAACTGTTTATGAATACTTGTACCTTCTCAATGATGACTTTCGTGGTTCTCCAAGTTTCCACTCCATACATTAGAAATGTCTTGACATTTGTATTCAGAATTCTGACTTCGGTGTTGGTTTTTATCACTGACTCCCTGCATATATATATATATATATATATATATATATATATATATTATATATATTTACTAGGATATTATAGTAATCAAATATATACAGTACATCCAACAAAAATAGTATGAATATAATTTACTAGTCATTTACGGTAATAAGTAATTTCAAGTAAGATTAATATTATAAAGCGGTCAGAGATTCTTCATTTCTATCCGTCATAAGTTAAATATATATATTGTAAGAAACAAAATCTATGAGAGTTGGTTAAATTGTACTGTAATAACACAATAACACTTCAATTCACACGTGAATAAGAGAAATAAAGAGAATTGAGTTTTCAGGAAAGTTTTAATATTCCAAACAAAAGTCAACTTACTTTAGAACAGTTCTATTTACATGGTAATAAACATGATCTTGAAAACACAGAGAAACAGTAAACTAAAAGAAGGTGGTCAGTCAGATTATAATAATGAAATAATGTAATTGTGTTATCCCATTGAGTAAAAAATGTAAAAAATTTCTTATGCTTTATCACTCAGAGTAAGCCACCTCTTTTTAGTCTCTGAAGAAGTAACTTACACTGAGTAATGAAACATCAGAAATTTTTTTTTAACTTTTCCACTCAATGGGACACCACAAATACATTATTTCATTATGAAAAATCTGCCTAATGCTCAGTTTATTTGATCACTGTTAGACCACCATTAGAAACCTGGAAGCACTAGACGTCAGTTTCATCCTAGTGTGGGACTCATCAGCAGTGCATGTTGACGACCCCTGTTACGCGAGAAGCAAATCTAGGACCTTCGGATTCATGTACGCATGTTTAACCTGTAAACCACTTAGCCGGAATCCAACGGTGTTTATGTTTAAATTCAATCAATCCACGATATCACGTGACCATGATCCATTGTCTTCAGTGGGTAACTGCTTCACATACAACAGGTTTGAACTCCACTGGTATCGAATTCTTACTAGAAATCTGAGAATTTTCTCAAGAAGCTAGTTACTAGTGAGCAGTACGTTAAATGCTCTCATGTGAATCCGAAGGACTTGAGTTTGACTCTCGCGTGTATGGGTTGTCGATACGCACTTCTGATGAGTCCCATACTTGGACGAAATGACCGTTTAGTGCTTCTTTATTTACAATGGTGTTCTAGCATTGATCGATTCATGATTCCACTGAAACTCAACAAGCTCCACAACCGTATAATGAAAATTATTCAAAAATATCAATCACATTATAGAAATGGTCAACATGTCTATAGAAATCAAGAGTTATTTGGGTATTGTTTATTCATCGAACTAGTTTACTTACTTACTTACTTTACTTACGCCTGTTACCCCCAATCGAGCATAGGCCGCACACCAGTTTTCGCCAACCAACTCTGTCCTGGGTTTCCCTCTCCAGATCTGTCCAATGTTTGTTCATTCCTCTCATATCTTTCTCTATTTCTCTGCGTAATATGTTCCATGGCCTTCCTCTTTTCCTTTTGCCTTGAGGGTTCCATGTGAGGGCTTGTCTCGTGACGCAGTTAGGTGCTTTTCGTAGAGTGTGTCCTATCCACTTCCAACGCTTCTTCCTGATTTCCTCCTCCACTGGAATCTCGTTTGTTCTCTCCCACAGTTCGTTGTTGCTGATGGTGTCTGGCCAACGAATCCGAAGTATTTTGCGTAGACAACTGTTAATAAACACTTGTATCTTCTGGATGATGGCTTTGGTGGTTCTGCAAGTTTCCGCTCCATACAGTAGAACTGTCTTCACACTTGTATGGAAAATCCTGATTTTGGATTCGGTTGAAAGTTGTTTGGAGTTCCAGATATTTTTCAACTGTAGAAATGCAGCCCTCGCTTTGCCAATCCGTGCCCTCACATCTGCATCGGATCCACCTTTCTCGTCGATGATGCTGCCCAGATATGTAAAGGTGTTAACGTCCTCCAAGGCATCTCCATCAAGAGTGATTTGATTGGTGCATGTTGTGTTGCATCGGAGAATTTTGCTTTTTCCTTTATGTATGGTGAGACCTACTGCTGCAGAGGCTGCTGCTACACTGGTCGTCTTCTCTTGCATTTGTTGTTGCGTGTGCGATAGAAGAGCCAGGTCATCTGAGAAGTCCAGATCGTCCAGTTGATACTGTGCTTCCCTCCAGATTTTGACGTCTTCATAATCCAGTCGATCACCAGGAGAAAGAGAAAGGGTGAGAGTAAGCAACCTTGCCTGACACCGGTCTTCACCTCAAACGAGTTTGTCAGCTGACCTCCGTGCACGATTTTGCAGTTGAATCAATCATAAGAGTTCCGTATGACGTTAATTATTTTCTCAGGCACACCGTAGTGTCGAAGAAGCCTCCACAATGTTTTCCTATCCACGCTATCGAACGCTTTCTCGTAGTCGATGAAGTTGATGTAGAGTGGTGAGTTCCATTCAATTGATTGTTCCACAATGATCCGTAATGTAGCGATTTGGTCAGTACACGGTCGATCCTTATGAAATCCAGCCTGTTGATCTCGAAGTTGGGCGTCTACGAAGTCCTTCATTCTGTTTAACAATACCCTGTTGAAGACTTTGCCTGGTATTGAAAGAAGAGTGATGCCTCTGTAGTTCTCACACTTGCTGAGATCGCCTTTCTTTGGTATTTTGATGAGGTATCCTTCTTTCCAATCTGATGGTACTTGTTCCTCATCCCAAATCTTCTTGAAGAGTATGTGAAATATTTTCGCAGTTGCTTCCACATCTGCTTTCATTGCCTCTGTTAGAATGTTGTCTGGTCCTGCGAACTAGTTTACTAACCGAACTATAAAATTAGGTAGTTTTGAAACTTTTCTAACAGAAAATGTTGAAATAGTCACTCAACATCACTTGATATTTAGTACTTACTTACTTACTTATTTACTTACTTACTTACTTACTTACTTACTT